CTGGTGGCACCTCACTTGAGGTTTTTACTCACGAAAGCTTATGCCCAAATAAATCTGTTAGTCTTTAAGGTGCCACCAGACTCCTTGTTGTTTTTGTAGATACAGACTAACACGGCTACCCCCTGATTCTTGACACCAGATAAACAAGTCAGGGAAGGTTAGCAATAGTTGCTTAGACCAAAATTTTCAAAGTTGGTTGCTTTAAAGTAAGGCACCTAATTCCATATTTACAGACCTAAATAAGAGGCCTGATTTTCAAAGGTAATAAAAGCCTACAACTCCTATTCAGATCAATGGGACCTGAGGATGCTTGCAACTTTTAAAAAGCAGACACTTATTTAGTTTGAAAATATTGTCCTTATTTATTTAAAAGATATTTAAAATGTAAGTTTACCAGACTTTTGAATTGTAGATTAATTTATTATAAGCCACACTCTTTGCACTGCTTAGCATCACCTTGCAGAACATGACTGGCATTCATCCTCCTCTCTCAATAACTATCACTTTGTACTTGTCAGTGCTGGTGTTGGACGAACTGGAACCTATATTGCGATCGACGCTATGCTGGAGGGGCTAGAGGTAGAAGGCAGAGTGGATGTTTATGGCTATGTTGTAAAGCTCCGTCGACAGCGATGCCTCATGGTTCAAGTAGAGGTATGTTCTAGAGCTTGCTGCTTTGTTTCATTTATTAATCTCCCTTAGGAAAAGCTGTGGCCAGCTAGCTCAACTCTAGGTAAAACTAATATGGCCATGATTTACCATTGCAGTTGTCCAGGGAAATATAAAACTATGAAAGAACAGAGGGAGGAAAACCATCTATGAAGCAGGGATGGTCAGCATTTTCCAAAGTTTGACATTTCAACCATTTTTTAAAAATTTAGAATTGCAACCAAAAAAAAGGGACACAAATATATAGGAGCCTATTATCTTTTGGCACCCAAATATGAACATTTTGGGGCAAGGTTAACTATGCATATTCACTTTTTTTTCTTTAGTGTGGGATTTTCAGAAGTGCTTAGGAGCACAAGTTCCATTGAAAATGACTGATAGGACTTGAGCTCCTAACTTAGGTGGGTGTTTTGGAAAACCCCACCCCAAATTCTTAGCTGTACAATCTAAGTTATGTTGCATTTTATTTATATAGCACCTTTGATCAAAAGCACTAAATGTTGCACTAACACAGCCAATTGCATTTAATTGACATAGTAATAGCTGTATCTACTGCCAGTTTAATATAGCAACAGTAATAAGAATACATAAATATTACAGTATGTTTTAGATAGCAAGAGCAATTTGAAAAATCTCTTCTTTATAATTATTATTTTTAATTTTTGAAATCCACCTCATCCTTAAATTGGGGAACACTAGGCACAGTACATCCTGATCCATCAAGCACTGGTGGAATACAATCAGTTTGGTGAAACAGAGGTCACGCTCTCTGAACTGCACACCTATCTTAATAATCTGAAGAAAAGAGATCCTCCCAGTGACCCCTCTCTGCTGGAAGCCGAATTCCAGGTAAATATAATAGTGCATTCTGTTTTATTCGACACTCTGTTCTGATTTTAAACAAAAAAGTGACATGCGGTAATTTAAATAAGCCAATAATTCAGAGCCAAATTCTGCCAAGTAAATTGGTAATTTTAAATGAAATCAACAAACTAAGGAACTGCTCAAAGCGAGGGTGGCAGAATTAGATCCAATATTTGGTTGCTGGGGAATAGGGATGGGGCCAGATACTCATCTGGTCTAAATGGGCATAGTGACATTGTCTTCAGCTGAGCTAGGCCATTTTACAAGAATCTGGCCCCGGAAGTATTCATACTGTGTTTTACCTGTTCCAGTATTTCTGATTGTAAATTGATATTTTGTATTTTTTAATTATTTTTATCTTACTGAAAATATATAGTAATTCTTTTTTTTTTTCAGTTCTTCCCCTTAAGGTTCCATAGCTTTAATTCTTTTTTCTTATGAGAAACTAGAGAAAAAATATAATGGACAAATATATAATTTCCTGTGGCTGAACCAGGAGTGTGTATAAAATTAAAGATTTAGGCTCCAATCCTGCAAGCTTTTCCACATAGGTGCAGAACAAGCAACTGCCTGAGTAGAATAGCTTGTAGGATAAGGACCTTAGAGAGACGTAAAATGTTTTAAAATAATTGAACCTAGGGCTATCAGTTTATTTGTAGCAATAATGTCTTTGTGCCAATGTGGATGTGAGGGTGCAAATTACCACTAGCGATCCATGTATTTGACAAAAAATCAGCTTGCTTATGATGCCCACGAAGAGTGGGTACCATAGTTGGTAGATCATTACACAGATGTATTTTCTGTGGCATATATACTCTTGCAGTACCATAATTAGCTTAATAAATTAACTCTGTGTTCCTGGAAAAACTTTTAAGGTGGTGAAATAGCTTAAAGAAATAGCAATTTTATTCCTTTTTTGTTAACATTGTTCATAAAATACAGCAGTGCAATCTTTTTAAATTGTTTCCATCTGCATGATTTCTTGTGATACTGCACGTGGTAGGTTCAAGGGTTCATAAATTGTGGTCCAGGCACTTCCATGGAATGAAATGAAGCAGTGAGGGACTGAGATATTAAGAGAGGAGATGGGTCTCTGAGAGTATCACCATTTTATAAAGCTGGCCAAACCATTGTTTAGCACATGGTGTGACCTTGTATGCTTTCTTTCCTTAGAGGCTACCATCCTACAGGGGATGGCGGACACAGAACACTGGCAATCGACAGGAAAATAAAAGTAAAAACCGGAATTCCAAAATGATTCCATGTAAGTGTTTGCGATGATGTCTGCAGTCAGTTTGTTCTAATTGTATGAAGGCTTCTTACAAAAGATTATGGATAAAACAGGACAGTAAATTACCATATTGATATGTACTCCACACTAGAAAATTTAGGAAGTGGATGATTTGTTACAATATAAACTGTGAGGAGTCCTTGATTTTTTTCCCCAAACAACCATTGTGGCATGTCTGCTGCCTCTATGCCATTGCATAACTGCTGAATAACGGCACTTTTTCTACATTCCCTTTCCATTGTAACAAAACTAAGAAGGGAGATGGTTGCTTTCCTCCTGCCAATAGAAGCTATTGTTGTGACACTTTTTTTTTCCAGATGACTTTAACAGAGTACCAATTAAACATGAAGAGGAGAAAAGCAAAGAGAGTGAACATGATTCAGAGGAATCATCTGATGAGGACAGTGATTGTGAGGAAGCAAGCAGATACATAAATGCATCATTCATAACTGTATGTATTTAGAGGATAAAACTACTTGTATCTAATATGCTTTCCGCTGATAGTCCCTGATAATAGCTATGTGCCAATTTCTGCTCATCTTACTCTCTCCAGTAGTCCTATTGGCTTCATTAGCATGGTACTAGTTACGTGAGTAAGACAATCAAGATCTGGCATTTTATTTGGATGTTCATTTATAGACTGAATCACAAAGATCTTGTAATATTGGTTGTCCCAGGGGAGAAAGACAGAGCTCTTACCTTACACTGTCCTAATCTATACAGCCTCAAAGAGTTAAATACTTCGATCGTAATAGCCCTAGATCTAGTGAGTGTTGCAATAACCAGAGTGATGGTAAAATAATTATCTTTTATAGTTTCTTTTAAAACCTGACTTTCAGCTAGGCTTTTCAGTGCCACCTATATTTTTGCCAGCATGTATATGAGTAGATCTCCACCTATGTGAATTCCAGGTACACACAGGTAGTTATATATATTAATTTCCCTTACAGTCAATTTTATGCAGTTTTTTGTGGGTACAAATTTGGCCTAGTGAAAACAGAGGCCAGCATTGAAAAGCAAGCTTTTAGTGGCACAGTCACATCTAAAAGATACCATCTTTGGAGGGCCTTTGTTGGACACTAACAGATATAACTAACAATGAGTGGGATTTGTCTGAACTCTGTAGACAAAAATACAGTTAGCATATCTACTGATTGTAAATATCTGTTTACTAATAGCTACAATGTCAGTCTGCATTGACTTGCTTAGCTGCTCTGTGACGTTGCAAGAGGCGTCACTCAATATCCAGTTTCTAATACCAACTGCGGAGTGCAAAACCTTCTTTGTAACCCCAAAATGCTTTCTGCCTCAGATACTGGCAGTCTAAGCTTTCCCACAGGGCTGTACAAATGTGTCTCAACTTTGTCCTGGATAAAGGACTGCTAGTTATGGAGGGTCACTCGTGCCCACCAATTTTTGTCCTTTCTGGTGACACTATGAACTATTGCCAGTTGTGATGATGTTTTTTTAAAATGGATACTTGTCCTCTAGAAACTATACTGAGACCGTTAACTCATTCATGTAGGCTACCAGACTCCCTTTAGATGGTAAATACTTCTTTACACATGACAACTGCCTTTCAGATGAATTAGTAAAAATAAATCATATGTTCAAATGGACTTTTTTTTAGGGCTACTGGGGTCCAAAAGAAATGATTGCAACCCAAGGGCCACTCCCAGAAACGATCAATGACTTCTGGCAAATGATCTTTCAGAGAAAAGTCAAAGTAATTGTTATGTTGACAGAGCTGAAAGAAGGAGATCAGGTTAGTTTGTCATCTTCAAAGTAAAGTATATGATACGATACTCTTCATAAGAGAAAAGAACAGAATTCCAATCTCTAAATTGCAACGAAATTCTAATTTCCAAACCAAAAATGTGACTCTGTCAGAAAGTGACTCAACTTATCAATTATTTTGTTTTCTAATAGGATTTATTCAATCCTTATATTTTAAATTGTGCTGAAATGAATATTTGATTACACCATAAAAATTCATCAATGATGTATTTTATAATAAAATGAAACTGAATAGTTATAGAATATATGCATCCTTTAAATTGATTTGGGAAGAAAAGCAAAAGCAATGATAAAAATAAGGACTGATTTATACTTCATTTCTAGCAACTCTGTGCACAATATTGGGGAGAAGGAAAACAAACATATGAAGGCATAGAAGTTGAAATGAAAGATGTCAACCTGTCTTCTAGTTACACCATACGCGCATTTGATGTAACACATGTGAAGGTAAAAGATAAAAAATGACAGATGGGAATTTTACATTTGTTTTTCTATTTTAAACTTCGTCTTTTGTAAAGGGCAAACAAAATAAGGAACAACCAAAAGACAAGAACAAACCTGCTTGTGTTTTGATAGCTGATGTTTTATTAGTTCCTTGCTTTAAACGTTTTAATAGTCATTAAAATGTGACTTACAGTCACCATTGAATTACAAAGTCAGACATAAGTAAGATGAGGGATAGAGATCTCCCTGAGGCACAGCTCCCATCTTGCTCTTCTCTGTCTCCAGTGGACAGTAATTTATTGCTGGCCTGGTCCCATAGAAAATTATGACACACTGTGAGGTAATTCAGTCAAGTCTCCACCCAGGCCCAATCTACCTCCTAAATGGATGGTAGTGGGTGCACAAGGTCTGAGTACCCACAATGTTATCACCCTGCACAGGCATAGTTCAAGTCAATCTAGTCCTAAGTGATTATCAGGATTTTTTTTTTAAATTTACGTGGAATAAATATAATATGGATCATTATGTTATCCCTTGAATTTACTATATGTTTATCTCTGTTTTGCAGAGGAAAGAAACTCGAAATGTGTATTTGTACCAGTACCACAAGTGGAATGGCTTGGACCTTCCTGAAAACCCCAAAGACTTAGTCAACATGATTCTGAACCTCAAACAAAAACTTGCAGCTAAAAGTGTCACTGAGGACAGCAGATACAGCCGGAGCGTTCCAATTGTCATTCACTGCCGGTGGGTCTGGATGCTATAGATATTTTAGTGCATTTCTACGGTTTGGTTATACTTGGCAATAGCAGTTTCATAATGCTTACCTTTGCTCCTAAACTTTCCTAAAGCCTGCAGACTAAATTCACCCTACAGTGTATGCCAGCTTATCCCAGCAGAGGGCTCCCATGGCAGACTGTTCACCTGTGCATTATGCAACATTGCAAAGTGGCCACAACCTCCCCTCCATTGAGACATGGGTCAGGGCAGAAGGCGAGAGCTATCTAAAAGTAGATGTGCTGGCTGGTACAAAGCCATGGCCAAAGAAAGGTCCGCTCAGCACATTCTTCCAACATTCTGTTGGCAGGGGTCCTCGTGAAGCTCACAGTGGATTGTAAGGCTGCACCCACCAGCTGGAAAGGCCAGCCTTGTTCAGGGAGGTGTAAATTTCACCAAACCTAGTATATATGGATCTGGTTCCTTTGCTGGCCATTATACCTCGCACATGGCTAGCTGTTAACATCAGTATGGTCCTAGTCTTATGTGGCCTGAGTTGGGAGTGACGTGAAGCACCAGTACAGTGGCACAGTGCCTCTTTGGGGCTCTGTGTTGCACTGGGGGGCAGTTTACTCATCTTGTAAGACAAATCAGCAATTCTGGCCACTGAAAGCATATTGGGGGTGGGATGGGAAAGGAAGAGTTATGGCTACACTTACTCCCTACCCACTGGTAAGTGTCATGCACCACTGGGAAACCATCATGATAGTAGCCCTGTAGTGCCCAAGGGCAGGAGCTAAATCTGGTTGATCCTTACCCAGCTACAAAAAAGGGAGAAGAGGCTGCCTTTCCTGCCCTCCTCCCCCCCTCACCTCCACAATTGAATGGCTACATAAGGGCTAGTATAATCTAGCACAGTAAAAATCGGATGTCCTCTTTGCATCTTAACGGTTAGAAATCCAGTTAGAAATATTTCAGAGATGGGAATCTTTGTGACTTTTGTCAGTACAATAATCTTTAAAATAAACCTAACTGCTAGTGATAAATTGTACTGATTTTTGAATTCCAATAATGTGTATCTTCTAGTGATGGATCTGAACAAACTGGTGTGTTTTGCGCCTTGTTGACTCTCTTGGAAAGTGCAGAAACAGAAGATGTGATTGATGTCTTCCAAGTAGTGAAATCTCTTCGACGTGCCAGGCCAGGAATGGTCCCCACTTTTGTAAGTAAATCCTATGAGTTAACCAAATGATGCAATAGATTTGCTTATCTTTAGACATGAATGTTCTAATAACCACTGGCAATGTTTCTCCATAGGAAACATGTATTATAATTATCTCATCCCTAATTATTCATCAGCAGTTGTGAATTAGCTATTGGTGATAAGAAGGAACTAGTCTGCAACCTATCCACAGCTATAATAATCAGTTTCTTGAAACTGAAAAGGTGAACAGAACATGTTGTTTGTAAACCATTAATTTTTTAGGCTGGAACTTTGGCAGCTGCCTACGGGATTTAGGAGCACATCTTCCACTGAATTCCATGGGAATTGGATGCCTAACTCCCTTAGGCAGGTTAGAAAATGCCCTCCGTATTTTCTGAAGAGTGCACAGAAGGAGCTGCTTTCCTGCTTGCATGCAATATGCATTCTTCTCTCTGACAATCCATCTAAATCAACTAGATTTGCTAACTCTGCTGTGGTTTATTAGAGAACTGAACAGTAGTCACTACCGTACACTTAATCCACCTGCTTGAATCTCTTTTAAACAAACTTTTGATAGTTTGCCATGTGAATCAAGAGGGATGGATTCTGCGCTGCCTTGGGAATAGGGTGATTTTAGGTAGTGACCTAGTACCTGATCTACCTGGAATTAGGGATGCCCTCAGTGCCGTGTCACCATAAACTCAGAATTGAGCATAGCAGGGAGTTGCTTCAACTTCCTGTGGGCCAGCAGCCATGGAGACCACCTTATGCTGAATATTTCAATAAAATGGAAAGATTCACATTGTCAACACTTAAGACAAAAAATAAAAAATAAAAAATCAGCCATCCTGGCTCAATCACATGGCATTTCATCCACACTAATCCCTTCTTTTTTGTATTAGGAACAATACCAGTTCCTGTATGATACTATCAGCAGCATCTACCCTGCACAGAATGGACAAGTAAAGAAAAACAGCAAGCAGGAAGATACAGTTGAAATTGACATTGAAGTAGATAAAACAGATCAGGAAGCTAATTTGATTACTATCGATATCACCTCACTGGAGTCAGAGGCCAATCTGAATATGGAAGCGCGTGAAGATTCCAAATCTGCAGATGGCACTCAGGGAACAGAAGGCTCTTCAAATGGACCCAAGACTCCAGTTTTAACTGAGAGTGCATAGAAAAATATATGAAATTTGGATGTACAAAGGCATCTTAAACAGAATAAGTAGTAGAGATTTGATCTTGAGTTAATTTTTCAGAGGTACGGTATGGAAAGAATACTTGAAATTTGTGGATAATGTAATGCACTGTGAAAATTTAATTTTTGTGTAGATTTGCATTTTATTCCTTTCAAATTATTTGAATTATTTTTGATCTTTTTTACAAATCTGTATATTGTAATGCTGATTTTCATTATGGTCTGGTATTCAGGAGTGGAAAGAAAAGTCATGCTACCTTTTTTCAATCTTATTTTTTGTTATAAGAAAGTAAGTAGCCAGGACCGGAATCTCTAATAATGTACAGTCATAAATATAAAGTTAGAAGTATGGCAAATATGAGTTTTCTTTTAACTAATTATTGTCTTACTATCTTTAAATTGACTTAGTGGGTAAGGAATATGGCCTGAATTTCAGAAATGCAATTCCTATTGACTTTAGTTAGGGTTGTGCTTGCTTTGCAGGTGCTTTGCAGAATACCAAAGCCATATCTGGGCCATATCTTACAGCTCCATTGAAGTCTATGGGGATTTACACCAGCTGAGTAACTGGTCCTACACATCCTTACCTATCTAGGACTGTAAGCTTTGCATTTTTCTAACTGGCCTCAAGATGTCCTCATTGCTCCACACAACTCCATCTGAGGCTTCAATATCTGACTCTGAAATAAGAAAGTCCAGAACTTGGAGTATTGACTGATTGGAGAAACTCTGATAGTTAATTGAATTGACATTTGGCAACTTGAGATCCCATGTGTTACCACAACTGCTTCTTGTGCTAATTTTTTCTAATTTAAAGAGAGAGCTTCTGCAAAAGTGTTGTACCTATTATGTATATTAAACATTCCAAAATACTATGCTACTAATAGTACATGCTACTAGCACATTGCTGATTTTATTTAGTGGTTTCATAATAATATGATGATTTGTATGTTACAGTTTGGATTATTTTACTATTGCCTTAGTGGATTTCAGCCTAATCTTTTAAAGCCAAATAAAAAGGACAATTAATAAATTGCACAGTGGGAATTATTCTGAAATATGTAAAACTCTGTGTAAAGTTACTTATATGTAAAAGAATGAAGGGACTTGAAGTGCACCTGCTCTTTGTAGACTATGCAAATGGGTTGTTTTTTATTTACACTCAGCACATGGTTTTGTAGTTCCCCATATCTGCCAATTTCAGCAGAACCAATGGTAGTGCTTAATTCTTGTATCATTCACTTCATCTGAAAAGATCAGACACTTTACAAAGGTGGATAAGTATTAGCTTCCTCATCTGTAACACGGGGATAAGGACGGGTAGACCCCAGTCAGCGGGATTGAACTTGGGATCTCTGGAGCTTAGTGCATGAGCCTCTACCACATGGGCTAAAAGCCAGCTGGGTGTTAGCTAAGACTGTAGAGCAGACTAATTTTCTCTCTCTTTCTAAGTTGTCTCAGTGCCACTAGATGGGACAGAACACCACACCCAGAAGGTGTGTGGGTTACAATATGACTTATGCAAGGTCATACAACAGGTGGCAGAGCTGGGATTCCTAACTTTCCATTCCAATGTGCTATTATTTGGACCACACATTCATCCCAGCTCCTAGGTAGAGAGCCATGCCATAGGCTATGTGTATACTTGATTAAAAAACACTGAATCTGAAAGCTGCCCAAAAAAGTGATTGATCCCCTGAGAGCCAAAGAATGCAAGTGTAAAGGGGTTAACTTAATTTTCCAGTTTTCCTAGGTCAGATGCTTCATTCATTCTCTGCCTACACAAGTAAACATCTACTCAGCAGTTCACTTGAAGAAACAGCAGCAAGAATGCACAAACAGTGGGACCTTCCTTGCCTGCAAGTTGAACTTTCCTTCCTTTCCAGCCAAAGCCTCACTGGCTTATGAATCCTTTCAGGAGGCAAGAGCACCTATAGCCAAAGAGACTCAGGCAAACCTGGCCCAGCTCAGTAAAAAAAAATTAGGACACCAAACCTGTTTTCATATTTTGAGAGGATCAATATAGCAGAGTTGCAAATGTAGGGGGCAGCTTTGGGGATGAAGAGCTCTAACCTACTCCTGTATTTTCAGAGGCAAAGGCCACCAACAATTTGAGGAATTTTCTGGAAAATGTGAATGCCCCATAAGTGAATGGGGTACAGATCAGGCTGATCCTGTGTTAACTGACCCCTCCCTGTGGCACAATCAGGGTGCTTGGCCTACCTCTGAAACATGCAATCCTCTTAGTTTGTCTCCCCCGCCCCCACCCCCCGCTAAGATTTGGTCTTCAGCAAACCTCTAGTTGTTTCCCAAGGTGTCATCCACCTAAAAACACCAAGAGTGATATGCAGTTATGTAGTATGTATGCACAAAACAGAGAATGTCAGAACTTTAGGAAGAACTGCAAATATCTCCCAAGGCAGTAGACACCTGGGCCCAGATCTTCAAAAGGTATTTAAACTCTTGAAATCAATGGAAGTTAGGAGCTTAACTATCTTTTGAGAATCTGGGCCCTAGAAGTAAATGTTCTTCTGGTGTAAATCAGTGTAGCTCCATTAATTTGCAACATCTGAAAATCTGGACCCTAAGTTCCTTTAAATTCCTGCAAAGCTGCGGGGGCTGTAGAAATTCTGGAGGATACTTATTGCTTGAGTTGCTTTCTGCAGGTGATTTAGTGCTCTCCTGACTTTTACGTATTTATTGCAAAAGTGCATGGCAGGCTGTGACCTGATTTGTATAGACACTTGCAAAGAGAGATTCACAGCTCTGCTAAATCTTGTCTAATTCACACCCACATTACTATCCTAATGAATGGGTAATTGAATTACATTTAAACATCTCAGGTGCCTAGTGTAAACCACTTTTGGAGTAATATTCTTTCTATTAACAGAAGGATAACTGAGGCCTTGGGTTTTAATTAGGGCTGTCGATTAATCACTGTTAACTCAAGCGATTAACTCAAAATTAATCATGATTAAAAATTAATCATGATTAATCAGTTTTAATCGCACTGTTAACAATAGAATACCAATTGAAATTTATATAATATTTTTGGATGTTTTTTCTATATTTTCAAATCTATTAATTTCAATTACAACAGAGAATACAAAGTGTACACTGCTCACTTTATTTTTATTACAAATATTTGCACTGTAAAAATGATAAACAAAAGGAATAGTATTCAATTCACCTCATACAAGTACTATCGTACAATCTCTTTATTGTGAAAATGCAACTTACAAATGTAGGGTTTTTTTGTTACGTAACTTCACTCAAAAACAAAATAATGTAAAACTTTAGAGCCTACAATTCCATTCAGTCCCATTACTTATTCAGTCACTAAGGCAAACAAGTTTGTTTACATTCACGGGAGATAATGCTGCTGGCTTCTTATTTACAATGTCACCCGAAAGTGAGAACAGGCGTTCACATGGCATTTTTGTAGCCGGCATTGCAAGGTATTTACATGCCAGATATGCTAAACATTCAGAAGCCCCTTCATGCTTCAGCCACCATTCCAGAGGACATGCTTCCATGCTGATGACGCTCATTAAAAAAAGAATGCGTTAATTAAATTTGTGACTGAACTGCTTGGGGGGAGAATTGTATGTCTCCTGCTCTGTGTTTTACCCGCATTCTGCCACATATTTCATGTTATAGCAGTCTCGGATGATGGCCCAGCACATGTTGTTCGTTTTAAGAACACTTTCACTGCAGATTTGACAAAATGCAAAGAAGGTACCAATGTGAGAGTTCTAAAGATAACTACAGCACTCCACCCAAGGTTTAAAAATCTGAAGTGCCTTCCAAAATCTGAGCGGGATGAGGGGTGGAGCATTCTTTCAGAAGTCTTAAAAGAGCCACACTCCGATGTGGAAACTACAGAACCTGAACCACCAAAAAAGAAAATCTACCTTCTGCTGGTGGCATCTGACTCATGATGATAAAAATGAACATACATTGGTCTGCATTGCTTTGAATCATTATCGAGAAGAACCCCTCATTAGCATGGACGCATGTCCTTTGGAATGGTGATTGAAGCATGAAGGGACATATGAATCTTTAACGCATCTGGCACATAAATATCTTGCGATGCTAGCTACAACAGTGCCATGTGAACACTTGTTCACACTTTCAGGTGACATTGTAAACAAGTGCCAGAGCTGAATGGAAAATAAAATTTCCCTTGCATAGAAATTTAGATTTTTTCAGGGAAAAAAAATCCCAATTCAGGACAAAAATCAGGGGGGAAACCTTTTAAAATTGTGGAAAGAAAATTCTGTTTTGGGAGAATAGAAATGGATTGTTTTGGCTTGCATCCAGCTGCCTAGCTTCCTGGGAAAGTATCGGGGGTAGTGGTATTAGTCTGGATCTGTAAAAAGTGACAAAGAGTCCTGTGGCACTTTATAGACTAACAGAAGTATTGGAGCATAAGCTTTTCTGGGAAAGTGTTTAGTCACAATATTTTTGACCACCTCTAGCAAAGACCTCATTGCCAATTTCCTGGGACCCTGATTTGCATATTGATTAACATTGCAAGCTGCAGACATTCATTTGAATGGGTTTCATTGCATTGATATTGTTTGTCCACCAGGCTGTGCTGAAACATTTCACATACATTGGTTTTAAAACAGTATTGACATCTCTGCATTTATTGGTTTATTGTATTTACTTAATGTAGTACTCTTCAATGGTAATATGCATGTGACATTTGTTTATACAGCACTGTATGTGTGTACCTGTAAGAATATGCTTTGCTTCAGTGTATATACAAGCACTGATGTACATATTTAATCTAATTTTAATCTGTATATCATAGCCTTGATTGATCGTGTGCCCTTGCAGCATCTCTCAGCATCTCTACTATGAGGTCACAACCCCACCACTCAGTAATGGCTAGCAATGGGATCATGGCTAGCAATGGGATCATGGCTAGCTGCTCAGGAAAGCAGCACTGTTCATTAACATACATTTCATCCATGGGTACTAGACAGTTAACACAATATTGCCTTACATGGTGAATGATCTTTTCTGGCAACTTCAGAAACCCCAACTTCAGAACAAAGTGAATTTATCAGAGGCAAAGCTACAAGTGAAGTGCTGTACATAAAAGAACACACACATTGCTTAGATCTCAACCCCCCCCTGCAATAAATCAACAGTCACCACTCCCCAATATACAACTGTTAATCAATGCTCCCCCAGCCCAAGTGAAATCAATTATTAAGGTCTCCTATCACATACATATAAAGCTGGTCGAAAAATGTTAACAACATTTTCTGTTGGAAAAATACAATTTAATTGAAAATAAAATGTGTCACAGGAACATTTCAATTTTGATGACATTTTTGATGGGAGAAAGAAGAAATGAATAATTTCTCATTTCATTTTCATAATGTCAGTGTTTTATTTCAAAAAAGATAAGTTTCATTTTGAGTACAATTTGATTGCATTTCATGTAGACTTTAGTTTTAATATATTTAGTATTCTATATTATAACATTTTACCTTATCAAAATGAAACATTTTGACTGAAACAATTAAACATCAAAACATTTTGTAATTTCAATTTTTTTCAGTTGATTTGGAATGAAAAATTTTGAAATGTTGGAATTTCCCATGAAATGGAAATTCTGTTTTCTGACCATCTTCAACGCAACCTAATTAATAAGAAATGTGCTCTCCTCTTAAATGAATTATGGGTTCCCATCATCACTGAATGATCTCATCTTTCCCCTGTCCCATGCCCCAGTATATGAATTCTTCTTTTTCACCACTTTATATTCACGGAATCAGGGCTCTTACCTTTCTCTGAAATAATCAGTTCTGGTCTCACCTCCACACCCCAATTAGTGAATTCTCAGCTTTCTCCCCATCTCTCTCCCATCCCACAATTAATAAATACTGGCTTCTTTCCTTGTCCCTATCCCAATAAATTAATGGACTCTACCCCATATTATTTGTTTCTCTCTTTCCCATAAATTAATG